CTGAACTCTACCTCTGAAACTAATAATACACTAAATGTTAATTAACGGAATTTAAATTTAAAAAACAAATAAATAAAACTTTGTTCATACCCCCAAAAAATAAAAGTTTTTAAGCTAAGGAAATCAGTTTTATAAATAAAATATTAGATAATGATAGAAATTATAACGAAATTACATACATCTGAAATATTCCATTTTTTTCTCTAAATAGGTAATTATAACACCATATTGTATCTGTCTGCTGTAGCATTTTTTTGTTAAGATTTTATTTATTTGTTAGACAGAGAGAGAGTGCGAGAGAGCACAAGCAGGGGAAGTGGAAGGCGGAGAGAGGGAGAGGCAGGCTCCTCGAGGAGCAGGGAGCCCAAATGTGGGGCTTAATCCCAGGACCCTGGGATCATGACCCGAGCCGAAGGCAGAGGCTTAACCAAATGAGCCACCCAGGTGCCCCTGTCTGCTGTAGAATTTGTCAATCTTTTGACTTTTTCAAGAAAAATGAAGGAACAGTTTGCACAATGGGAGGCAAATGTCAGATCTCTTTTCTGTCACTGTCATATAAATTTGTATTTCTGTTAAGTTATATGAATGAATAACACATAAAACATTAAATGAGATATTGTTTAAATTGTTTTGACTTAAAGCAGCTGAAGTAACATTATGTTACTGCCTCCTGTAAAAAAAAAAAAAAAAAGAAAAGAAATGCTAACACAGAAGTGTGATAGGAGTATAAGATGCACGAGAAAGAAGAGGAGGACACAAGGCTGAAAAGACAGGCAAAGGTCAAATTAGACCACTGCTAAGAAACTGGGACTTTTTTCTAGACCACAAAGAACCATTCAAGAATTTTAACCAAAGGTGAGATAACCATCAAATTTCTATTTTAAAGCCATAGACTGATAATCATAGACTATGTATTTAAATACATACTAGATATAAAAAAATACATTCTTTTTTTTACAAATCTTTATGTGCATATAAATTCATTACAACAGATATGGAAGGATAGAATATACCAAACTAGTAAGAGTGATTAATTCTGGGGCAAGAAATGGA